GAATTCATGGACCAATCAGCGACAAGACTCCTCACATGATGAATTTCATACACCAATCAGCAGCGAGAAGCTCATATGGAGTTCATGGGCCAATCAGATGTGTAAGTGCTCGTATCTATTTCATGAACCAATCAGCTAGGAGATGGCTAATGCGAGGATAGGCTTTATGAACCAATCAACAACGATTGCTATTTTGGATTTCAGTCCTCGCTGTAACAATAACTATTAACCAAATTGGGATCATATTCTCACAGGCCGTCAAGGTGAATAATCCTCGTGACTAAAGTACAAAAACAATACGGCGTCAACATTACACTAAGACTTTACCTTATCTAGATACTTTATCCCTGTAACCTACTATGTTTACAAAGTCCCTTGATGTATGGGGGAAGTGTTTATAAAGTCCCTTGATGTATGGGGGAAGTGTTTACAAAGTCCCTTGATGTATGGGGGAAGTGTTTACAAAGTCCCTTGATGTATGGGGGAAGTGTTTATAAAGTCCCTTGATGTATGGGGGAAGTGTTTACAAAGTCCCTTGATGTATGGGGGAAGTGTTTATAAAGTCCCTTGATGTATGGGGGAAGTGTTTATAAAGTCCCTTGATGTATGGGGGAAGTGTTTATAAAGTCCCTTGATGTATGGGGGAAGTGTTTATAAAGTCCCTTGATGTATGGGGGAAGTGTTTATAAAGTCCTTTGGTGTATGTAGAAGACTTCACACACATACATCAAGGGACTTTGTAAACACTCCCTCTCTCTCTTTTACCTTTGAAATACACCACGACAGTTCCACGCGTGCCGTAAATTCCTGTGTGAGGTTGTATACCATTCATCTCCCTAAATCACACTATTACGCTTAGCAAACAAGAAAACAATCTAAAGGAGAAATGAAAGAAAAACACACAATAAATATCGTCTTACACCCGGCAGCTCCACTACACTATCCCAGGCTGTATCGTACGTCTGGCACTTATGATCACTATATGATTTTTCAAAACTATTTCTATAGTTTGATGTTACAATAAAAGAGTCGACAATACATATACAGTTTCTATTTTTTTTTCTAAATTTATTTAATAGTTTAGGTGTTTACTGACAGCACGAACACCAACGAATTTCCAATGACAAATCGACCGTAATAAGAGACGACGCGCCATTTACGCATTCAATGACAAGTGCCCAAGTTCTCGTACCGCGGAGATATTCGATACTGTTAATTTCATTACAAGAAAATATACAGAACAAAAAATATTTAGCTTAAACGTTTATAGTTATCTATTGTCTAATGGATAAATTAACAATAATAATCAGTGCTTTATATTTTTGTTATAGTTCAAGGATTAAATTCTAAAACGATAACAATACCTTAACCCGACGACCATTGTATTCAGACCATCAATGGAATATGTCCTGCCTAAGTCAATAAGCTGTGTACAGTAGTAAAGATGCCGGGGCAGATATAATTGTTTTAACCTCTCGGATATACGTCAGCCGTTAACATCAGCTTATATATATCTTCCCACTTTTATTATTTACAGTGGCGATGATCTGCTGAAAGCGTTGTTCTATGACGTGAGTAGTAGTAGTAGTAGTAGTAGTAGTAGTAGTAGTAGTAGTAGTAGTAGTAGTAGTAGTAGACAGTTTTATATTACTAGACTGGATAAATTATAATAAAAGCTGTAGTTGCCGGAAATACACAAAATAAAAGAACATCGATAAAAAACATCTACAAAATACTACACGAGGGCTGTGGTCGCCAACCCTCAGACCAGACAATAGTACATTACCATAATTAACTGACTGAATGAATGATTGACCTATTATAAAACAACCTTGATTCACCACCACTGAACACAACCAACTGGATGGATTTACAATAATTAAGTTACCCATAAAATCGTCCCCATCATAGAAAACACCAGGTCGTCTTAATGGTAAACTATTATATTTTAACACGTTCCTCAACACCCTCACCCAAAACAATTTAATGTGCACGTCTGTGATTAAAATAATATCTGACATAAAAAGAAGGTTAATGTTTCAGAATATAATGCAATCTTTGTCTGTTGTGGTGGCTGCGGTATCATGAACTAATTTAAAAACTTAAGTATAAAATGAACCAACCAAATCGAATCTAAATATACCGAGGAGGTAGAGGGGAGGTAGAAGAGGTAGAGGAGGAGAGGAGGTAGAGAGATACAGAGGAGAAGAGGTAGAAGGGGGTAGAGGAGGAAGGAGGTAGGAGGAAGATAGAGGAGGTAGGGAGGGTAAAGAAGGAGGTAGAAGAGGAGAAAGACAGGAGGTAGGAGAAGGGGGTAGAAGAGGAGGTAGAGAAAGAGGAGGACAGGAGGTGGCGTCAGGCGAGTAAATTGACGCGGCGACTCGTGGAGGGTGGTGGTGGAGGCGCTGGTGTGTGTGTGTGTGTGTGTGTGTGTGATTTATGGAAGGGGTGAAGACACGTGACTCAGGAGGACTTTATTTATTAAGAAGGACAGCTGAAAGGACGAAGACGACACGCTGCAGAGGACGAGCCAGTGAGCCACCTGAGAGATGGAGAGAGAGCCAGGGTGTATGAGCCAGTGAGAGGGGGCCAGTGTGTGTGTGTGTGTGTGTGGAGAGAGGGAGTGAGAGAGAGCCAGTGTGTGTGTGGAGAGAGAGAGTGAGAGAGAGCCAGTGTGTGTGTGTGTGGAGAGAGAGAGCCAGTGTGTGTGTGGAGAGAGAGAGTGAGAGAGGGCCAGTGTGTGTGTGTATGTGGAGAGAGGGAGTGAGAGAGGGCCAGTGTGTGTGTGTGTGGAGAGAGGGAGTGAGAGGGGAGTGAGAGAGGGCTGGTGTGTAAGTGAGAGGTACAGTATAGGTGGGATAGCTAGCCCCCTTGACTGCGGAGACGCCACTTTTAATATTTTACTTAGCTAACACCAGACGACTTTACCCAGCAGAGGGGATCCCGTACCTTGTGGTGTGCAGGGAGGCAGTGTTTGGGAGCTCTCAACACCCGCTGCTAGGTCATCAGTAGGAATTTTAAACATGTGTGTTTTGTTTTTTCATAAGTGTAATGATCTAGAAGCTGGTTATGACATAGCAAGGTTTTTTTTAATAGTTGTATTGCGTAATAACAGTCAATATTTAGATACGTTGGAGTAATAATAACCTTGTTTTTGAATAGCAACGAAATGGCGGGAAATTTTGTGTATATCAGGGAAATGGCGGGAAATGTTCTAGATCTACGTCAACGAAATGACACCAAATTTTAGGTTTACAATATCAACAAACTCCAACTACACAATAACTCCTGCGGCTACAGTATCCTTCGCCCTTTGACATAATAGAAAGACCCATCCTTACAAACAGCCACACTAATTAAAACAACAGCTCTAGTGTATCAGAGTAGCAGTTATATACAGCGTCAATGTAAACAGACCATTACTCCTCTTAGCTGTCAGAGTGTGTGTGTGTGAATGGCAGCATCACCGTTGAAATGTTTTCCCAATTTGAACGACGTAATTGCTTGTTAAGTTTTATGGCCGCTGTGTAAGTTGATGTTATTGATAGTATAAATGACACTGATAATAATGGCTATCATGATGAAAATAAAATGAAACTATTAATGCCGAGTTATTAATATTAACATTATTATTACTACACTAAACAACCACTATCACCATACAACACCACCACTAAGGCGATGGTGGTAGTATAGTGTTCATCCCCCACACACCACAAGACCCTGATGATGTGTGTGTATGTGTGTGTGTGTGTGTACGTCAGGGGGAACATAGAGGCGGCAGGTATCAACACTGTATCACACGAGCTTTGTTAAGACCCGCTACTCTGCCTCGGGTCGACCATTAACATGTTCAGGTTTTCCTTACCACCATCAACACCCACTCAAGTTAGAGGGCCTTCTTTCTTCCTTCCTTCCTTCCTTCCTTCAATCTTCCATCCTTTTAAAGAGGGTTCTGAGGTGGTCATAAAGCTGTTGAAAAAGGTTTAGCTGACCCTCCCTCCCTACCCCGACTCGCCCCAGAAATATCAGTGTTAACCTGACCTGATTTTGTTGAGAATGATGATATAGCCTTTGTTGTTGTTTGTGTACGTGTTGTTGTTGACGGTGGAATAATGTCCGTGTGCTTTATCAACTAAGCTCTTTACGTACTCAAATGATTAATTAAACCTTTATGACAGACAACGAGACGAACAGACGTAACCTAATCTGTGTGTTATGTTTTGATAAGGTTAAGTGAGGTCAGATTAGGTTAGGATGGACGTATTTAGTTCATGTTGTTTCATCCCTTGTCGTGGTCTTGTTGTAGCCTCCCCCCCCCCCCTTCACTGACCCATAACTACACAATCCACCACCATCCACAAGTTAAATTTACAGCTTTAATGATTCCTGACACTAATTCCCTCCAAGTCTCCCCCCACTACCACCCCCACCCCTTGTCTCTCACACACCTATAACGAGCAAGACATGTTGGTTGTGAGTCTCCCCAGCTGGTGTTGGTGCAGTCACGAGCGGTATGAGTAATAAGGTCACTGAAGAAGCACCAAGCCTTACTCTGCTGGTACGAGGTGTTGTGTTATGGGCTTAAAATTCCTAAGGTGAATTCCAGGACTCATGATAGTAATACTACAGTAGATCATGAAGCCTCGCGTGTCTGCGTTAAATGAGGGGTTAGGATTATGGTATGAAGCTTACTTTAACAGTATGATGAAGCCTTGTGGGGTTGTATACGACGGCTTGAAGCTTACTTATGACCAGTACGAAGCTTTATGAACGTGATGGACGAAGTCTAATAAAAAGGAACGTCTTGACCTGAAGGTGAATCATGAAAATAAGAAGTACAGCGGGAGGAGAGAGACAACTACTGCCTAGCAACACACGGCGGTGCTGTTGTTACCCTCCACACGCACAGTAATGCTGCCACTAGTTATACTCTACCTACAGGTGTGTAATTAATGCTCTTTAACTTAGACTTACAACAAAGTAGAGTGTGGACTTACCTGATCCTGGCGTGTGTGAGGGCGGAGTTGAGGTAAGGCTGGCAGGAGGCGGGGGAGCCCATCATGGGCGTGGTGGTGCCCTCGGCGTTCTTGTGGAACTCGGCATAGCCACCCAGCCCACGACGGCTGGGGACTTGCACACTCAGTAGCTCCGCCATCCTGCTAGTGGCCCTGGTCAGGTGGCGTGGTGTAAATCAAAGGGCGTGGCCCAGAGCAAGAGGCAAGGCCCAGGTTACGCGGCGTGATGGTCAGCAGCGTCGCCCTGGGGTGATGATGATGATGGCGCAGGAAATTCTTATAGTGGAAGTATTTCCTCTACGCCTTCACCTGACTCGTCTCACCTGCACCACTAACACTAACACACTCGGGGATCTCGTGTTAACAGTCAGTGTAACAGGAGACAGACAGGTCACCTCGGCCCAGCTCACTCACCCACACCGTCCTTGAACCGTCGCGTCTGTAGGTCAACTGGCAGTTCGACCTTCACCACCTGGCGACAACACCGGCTCTTAGTGGTTTCCAACACCAGGTCTTTCTCTGCCACCTCCTAGATGACAACACAATATTATAATCACTTTTCCACGGGTGATCTTGTCGAGGTAATTACTGAAGGATATTGAGAATTAACACGTAAAAAAAAACATCAATTACTTTCCTTTCCTCGTTTAAATTAGTTAAAAAAATGACTTAATTTCTCAGACACTTGGTTGAGTAAATTGTAAGCTTAAGAGTAGACTCGTTAAAATCCTTGTTATGGGGTGCGTGATGAGTGTGAGTGAGGGAGTGTGTGTCATAGTGAGGTTGCAGAGCAGGGTAGACGCACCTCACACAGGGACACTTGTACCAACTAATTTTCAGCTTAACTTTCTGACGTGCTTTTCTGACTCTCCGAAACCTCTCCTCAACTATTTTTTTCTTCTATTCTCTGCTATTTAATGTTCACTTGTCTTTTATTTCTTATTTTCTTTCTTTTATTTCCACACAATTGTTCGTATTTGTAGTGTTTATGACTTTGTTGATGTCATCTTAATAATCTGGAATAAATGAAGAGAGTTTGGTTACTTGGTGCAGGGATACGAACAGTCTCGCTCATACTGCCAGTTTTCACCTTGGCTGTCCATAATACTATTGCCTCCCTCCCTCCCACCCTCTCTCCTTCCCTCCCTCCCTCCTTCCCTCCCTCTACTCCCTTCCACTCTTCTTCCCTCCACATCCACACCCCTTCCAGTCCCTCCTTCCCTCTCTCCAATCCCCACCCCTCTACATCCACATTCGTTCCCTCCCTCCCTCCACATCCACACTCCTTCCCACCCTCCCTCCACCCCCTACCCATTTCCCTCAATTCCCCCCTTCCTCCCTCCACACCCTCCCTCCCCAACATTCATGACTCTGCCTGCACATACCTTCCCTCCGCACCCTCCCGACAATAATAATTACAGGTATATAACACAGTACCGAGCCACTCCCAGTAATAACACATAAACTGAAGTTATGTCGTGTGGGTAATTTTCCAGAGAGAGAGAGAGAGAGAGAGAGAGAGAGAGAGAGAGAGAGAGAGAGAGAGAGAGAGAGCAAATAAACATAACCCCAAGAAGTAAAGAACGACAGGTAAATATCCCACAGGTAATATTGTTAATCAAGTAATTACCCATTTCCTACATTAGAACGTTAAGTCAGGTCAAAGGTCAGAGTGTCAGGAGGCTTAACAAATGTCAAAGTACCAAAAGGGTTAGTAAAGGTCGAGAGGTCACAGTGCTAGGAGGGTCAGGTCAAAGGTCAGAGTGCCAGGAAGGTCAGCAAAGACCAAGAAGTCACATTGCTAAGAGGGTCAGCCTAGGTCAGAGTGCCAGGAGGGTCAAAGGTCAGAGTGCCAGGAGGGTCAAGTCAAAGGTCGGAGTGTCAGGAGGGTCAGGTCAGAGGTCAGAGTGCCAGGATTCTAAAAAAAAATCGTAAGTCAACTCTCCTCCATGTGTCACTTAACCAAGATGGCGTCCAAACTGCACAGAGACTATAGTGATTAGATACGTCAGTTTACCCCAAGAGAATTATATTTACGAATCTTTTGTGAAACAGAAATGTAATCTTATCAACTGTAACGACCACCTGGGAGTAATTAGGTCATTAAGGTGTGTGTAATTAAGCAGTTAGACCTAAGATTAAGAAGAGTCAGCCCCACCAATGACAGGTCAGTCATTCCTTAATAATCCAAGGTTAGTCCCATCAATGATAGGTCAGCTCCAACATATATTAACCACCTACATAAGTCAGCCCCCAACACAGATTTGCCCCATCACTGATCAGCCCCAACATAAGTCAGCCCCCAACATAGATCACCCCATTACAAATATCAGCCCCCCTACACAGCACAACCCCATATATAGACCAGCCCCCGACACAGTTGATCTCCCTACATAATTCAGCCCCCTACATAAATCAGCCCCCTACATCTCAGCCCCCAACAACTCAGCCCCACCCCACCTTGCTGGTTCACACGACGCCTGGGGGACGCATCACACAAGCACTGCAAAGAGAAGAGAAGAGAAGAATTAGTGACAGTAAACACAACACACTCAAGAATAATTAATATAATTTTAGCATAAACATAAAACTAATTATTATTATTATTATTATTATTATTTTATTATTATTATTATTATTGTTATTATTATTATTATTATTATTATTATTATTATTATTATTATTATTATTATTATTATTATTATTATTATTATTTTATTATTATTATTATTATTGTTATTATTATTATTATTATTATTATTATTATTATTATTATTATTATTATTATTATTATTATTATTTATGAATGGTGTTCTAGCGACTGGTGACGTAATACAAACAACTGAGAAGACAAAAATACCGGGAAGACTTATATTTATTTTTTTCAATCTATATAAAGTAAATTAAATAAACTCTACCTATATATAGAAATATTACGAATAATTAAATATTTATTGTGTAAAAATCAAGGCCTAATCATTCATATACACAAAAGGATTATAAATTAGTCATACGCCAGGCAACGAAACGCGCGGGTGCAGGATGAACGATAATAAAAAAAATTCACCTGAGATCCTGTATGACAGTTTCTCCCACCTAACTGGCAGCGTGTCTAGAGTAACAAACACCGCTGTCGGACGTATGAACAAACTAATTTAATTATTTTGTTTCCTGGGAAAATTTACTGCGAATTTTCTGCTCAATTAACACTAAAGGCGTGTTGGTGTGCACTATTGGGATGAGTCATACACATACATACACACACATGTTATCTTTCTCTTCCTCTCCCTCCATCTCTCTCCCTTCTCTCTCTCTCTCTCTCTCATCTCTCACTTATTTTATCCCCTCATTATTCTCCTCCTTCCATCATCTTCCCCTCTCACCCTTCTCTTCTTTTATCATCTCCATTCCTCCTACCTATTCCATACCCTCCACTCAACCTATCATCACGTATTCTTCCCTCTTTCATTCTTCCTTCCTTCTTTATCATCATCTTCTTCGTCTCCTTTCATTTTTAATCTAATTTTCTCTTTGTCTATATTTATTGTATTTTTATTATTTATTTTGTTTATTATCCCTTGTCCGCCTGTCAGCCAATCAGCTGCCTTGTTACAAACTGACCCTAGGCCTCAGTGATAAGCTTCGAGTGAACAAACTATACATACATACATACATACATACATACATACATAACATACATACATACATACATAATATACATACATACATACATACATACATAATCAAGCTAACATTATTTCACGTTAAAAGTATGAAAAATAATATTCTCTTTAACAAGGTATGTAGAGAGAGAGAGAGAGAGTTGGCTTTAATTATATCCTCCTTAAGATAAACACACACACACACACACACACGTTTGAAAGTATAAGAAAGGAAGTACTTTCTCTTTAAGGAAAGGAGAGTAAGCTCTCTCTCTCTCTCTCTCTCTCTCTCTCTCTCTCTCCTCTCTCTCTCTCTCTCTCTGGGGAGTGGAGATGTCGCCACTGGGAACTGTCACAATTATTTATAACAAGTCCGATACAGCGGCCACCCCCTACCACCACCACCTACCCCCTACCACCACCTACACCACCTACACCCACCCCCTACCTCCACCACCCCTACCACCACCTACACCACCCCTACCACCACCTACACCACCCCACCCCTACACCCCTACCACCACCACTACCATCCCCTACCACCTACACCCACCCCCACCACCACCCCTACCCCTCTACCACCACCTACACCCCTACACCCACCTACACCACCTACCCACCTACCTACACCCCCTACCCACCACCCACCACCACCCCCTACCCCACCCACCACCACCCCTACCTACATCCCCACCCACCACCTACCCACCATCACCTACACCACCACCTACCACCACCCCCTACACCACCACCTACCACCACCTCCATCCCCTACCATCACCTACCACTTCTCTCTCTTCCCTCACGGTTGACATAACAGATGGCTGTCAGCCTAGAACCATAACAGTAAGTGTAAACACAGATTACGTCACACACCGGAAAATCCTCTCCTTCCTCCCCCTTCTCTCCCTCTCTTCCCCTCCCCCTCTTCCCCTCCCCATCTCCCCCTCTGTCTCAACCCCCCTTCCTCCCCAGCCGCCATTCTGGGATGAAAAATTACCAACCTAACTGACAACAACAAGCACACCACTTACTACTACTACTACTACTACTACTACGACTACTACTACGACTACTTCTACTACAACTACTACTACGACTACTTCTACTACGACTACTACTACAATGTCGATAAACCCTCACTATAATTAACCGGGCACTGCATTCGATAGCCTTCATTCCCCAAACAGTAAAAGTAGGTACCCATCATAATCTAAGAGTGTCCCGGGGATCGAACCAACGAGCATTAATACAGGATGAGAGAGAGATGTATCCACTCGACCACCGCATCGTTTTGTATTATATATTATAGAATGATAACTCTCACCCCGTCCGCTAGAATGACTGTGGCGCTGCTGTAGTGAACAAAGGTGACCCGCTAATTAATCAAAGGTGTGTGAGGGAAAAACCTCCCTCATAAGGATATATACATGGTCAGTTAGTCAGTAATCAGTTAGTTAGTCAGTCAGTCAGTCAGTTAGTTCGTCCGTCAGTTAGTCAGTCAGTCAATCAGTGTGTCAATCGGTCAATCAGTGAGTCAGTTAGTCAGTCATTCAGGCAGTCAGTCAGTAAGTTAGTCAGTTAGTTAGTCATTCAGTCAGTCCTCAAAGAAGTCATTCAATCAGTCAGTCAGTCAGTAAGTCCCGGAAGTCATTCAATCAGTCAATTATTTAGCCTGGTAAAGTTGACGCCGGGCTGAAACAAACACCTCCCGAATAGCGCTTCTCCTTTAAGTGGGCGTAACGGCGGGCACCAGTGGGCCTCAGTGGGCGTAACACAGTGGGCGTCTTTCAGTGGGCGCAACACTAAGTGGCGCGTTTCAGTGGCACTAAGTGGGCGTCTTTCAGTGGGCGTAACACTAAGTGGGCTCAGTGGGCGTATCTTTCAGGGGGCATGTGGACGCAACACTAAGTGGGCTGAACCACCTGTCTCCAGCCCCCAGACCAGGTGTGGTTGGGAGAGGAGAAGGGGGGGGAGAAGGAAGGGGAGGGAGATGAAATGGGAGGGACGGGAGGGGAAGAGAGAGGAGGGAGAAGGGAGGCGGAAGACAGAGGAGGGGGGGGAGGGAGAGGAAGTTTAAAGGAACTTTCTTGTGAGTTGGAGTGTTAACAAGAGGAGGGGTGGGGAGGGGAGGGAGGGGGAAACGAGAGAGATGAAGGAAGAGGGGGTTAGGGGGTGAGAGATGGGGGGAGGAGGGGTAGAGGTGAGGATGGAAGGTAAGGTGAGAAAGTGAAGGTGGGGAATAGAGAAGAGAAGAGAGAGAGAGAGAGAGAGAGAGAGAGGTGAGCGGGAGAAAGGAGGGGGAGATAGGATTATTGAGGTTCATAGTAAAGGGAGATATACTCTCTCTCTCTCTCTCTCTCTCTCTCTCTCTCACTCTCTCTCTCTCTCTCTCTCACTCTCTCACTCTCTCACTCTCTCTCTCACAGATCACAGGGTACACACCTCACTGCTCACCTAAACTCCGGAAGGCGTTTAATGAGCTCTTGACAGTTAGAAAGAACACGGAAATGACTCAACTGTCCCAAGAGTTATATAATATTACTAAACTAACCAAGAAAAAGTAAAAGAAAGTAGATGGATTATATAGTAGAAAGTAGGGAAAGTATGATATTGTATAGAAAGTAGGGAAGTATTAAAGGAGAAATATTTAGTAAAAGTAGTGAGTAGGAGGAAGTAGAGAAAGATATGTAGTAGTAGAAAGTAGTGAAAGTATAAAAGGGAATGTAGAAAGTAAAAGAAGTAGTAAATAAGAGAAAGCAGGGAAGAGTAAGAGAAAGGAAATAGGGAAAGTATTACAAAAAGTACAAACCATAATATATTTCCTACATATTTTCCAGAATCTGGGTCATGTTCCTTACACACACACACACACACACACACACACCACACACACACACACACACACACACACTTTCACACACACACACAACACACACAACTCACTCTCTCTCTCTCTCTCTCCTCTCCAACAAACCCCCACCCTCCCAACCCCCTCCTCACCCCACAAACATAAAAACAAGAAGAGCCTCAACCTAACTCCTCCTCACGTTCCAATATTATCCCCCTCCCCCCTCCCCCCTCCCCCCTACCCCCCTCCCCCTACCCCCCAAAGAATGGATTTGACGACCTTATTTTCACGCTGGTAAAACAGATTCTTCTCCTCCACAACACAACGAGATATAATGTTCCAATGTTTTCACCTACTCTCTCTCAATAATGTCGTGTTTGTGAGAGGATTGTTTTATGTGTTTGTTTTTGAGTTTGTGAGAATATTGAGAGATAAAATTGCCAAGTTATGTTTACATGTTAAATACATTAATAAAACCTTAATTTACGATCAAAACTTAAACTTACGAACTTTTTAGAATCCATTTTTATGTTATAGCTGAACTTACGACTAAAAATAATTAACTTACGATCCTTTGAGTTACACCTAAATTTACGATAAAAAAATACAACTTACGATCCCCTGAGAATCCACCTTTACGTCACAGCTGAAGTTAAGATAAAAAAAATTAACTTACGAACCTTTAGTAATTCGAGTCCCTTGTAGTATCTCCCTTGAAGGATGTCTTAGGACTTTTCTCGCCCCTTTTCACATGTTGGTGGAAGGACGCTACTGCTTCCAAGGGCACGGTCGGTGAGGGAGGGAAGGAAGGGGGGGAGGAGGAGGGAGGAGAAGTAGGAAGGTTAGGAACGCAAACTCACACAAGGGGATGGGTAGGAGAGAGAGAGAGAGAGAGAGAAAAAAAAAAAAAAAAAAAAAAAGATATGAGAAAACACCAACACACCGCACTCTACTATACAAGGAGAGGAGGAGATGAGAGAGAGAGAGTGA